GGATCAGTCTGGTCATCCAGGAAGACCCTGTCTCCAGTGCTGAAATAATCCAAAACACATCAACAGAGAACAAGAGCACATGCAGAAGAAACCTACTCGCCAATGAAAGGAAGAGTGGAAAACATGAGCAAGCACAACGGAGAACGGTGTTTCCGGTGACGTCCATATTTCTTGCTTTGCTGTAAACAGAATACAATTATCTGGACAACTTCTCATGTTCGTTTTCTTAGATGTATCTGGTGTTCACCTCGAGACTAGTTAAGGGGTAGACAGAACTAAGCAAATGAAAGGCCACTGTTAGTGTGTAAGTTTTATCCTATTTTCATGTTCCCTAAGCCGACTTTGTCCCTACTCTGATAGTAAGGCAGACCAGAGAACTTGATGGGGGTTGTGCATTTATGCCATTAGTGTCTGGTCTGAAGAATATGGTACAAAATTCAGGCTATTTTGTTGAGTTTATTGATAAATGAGCAAATTGGAACTAAGAACTCTAGTAGGATGCCCAGGAACTCCAACAGGGGCAGTAAGAAGAGGCTCTTTTGTATGTGGCTACAAGGTGGGACAGAGATACTTAAAAGAAGGGCTATTGTTCTTAATTTAATAATTTCCTTGACATCTACTTTAGCAACTGGCTCTCACTTAGCTCCCATTTCCTGAGTAACTAACAAGATTTCTTCCTACTGTAGAGCTTGCATATATGATATCCTGTATTTATGGAAACATTGATCAAGAGCTGGGCTCACCACAAAGTGTCAAAGGTCCAGGGAGGGGTACCCTGCTGTGCCTGCGTGTTTCTTCCAAGTGCATTTGTATCACAATTCATTACAGATAGTGCAATCTCTAGAACCCACATCATGAGGCTTTGGATGCTGAGCTTCTGATTTCATCTTACGGTCTTTCCCCCTTCTTTGGCAAGGACCTAGCCATTCTGAACTTTTTATTTTTATTATTTGCATATAACTTCTCTTTATTCTTAAAAATTTTGTGTGCTTATGAACACAATAAGCACGATCATATTTAGTCCCCTTTCTCTCCTCCCTCTTACCTCTTTTGACCAATCCCTTTCCCACCTTTATAACCTGCTAGGCCCAATCAGTGCTGCCCTTATATACAGGTAATCTACTGGAAAATCAGAAGGCTACTAGTGTCCACACATTCAAAAAAGAATGAGTCTCCCTTCCCCAGCAGCTATCAACTGTCAATAGCTTCTCAGTTGGGGGGGGGGACTTGGAGAACAGCCACCACATTTATTTTGACTGACTTGACATTTGTGCAGGCATTTTGATCTTTTTAAAATGTGTTTAATCATGAAGTCCAGAATAGCCCAAAATACACATAAACCTACCTACCTACATACACACATGTAACATACATACATACACAAATGTAATTCACTATGCTGTTGCTACTGAATGGACTTGAAATATGAGAAAAGATGGCTATTCTTTCTTACCAGTAAAGAAGAGAGAAGAAAAGGAATTGGCAATCAAGAAGTGTCTTGGTCCTTTTTCTTTGTTTTCTCCTGCTGTGATAAATACAATGACCAAGAGAAACATGGGGAAGAAAGGGTTTATTTTAGTTTATAACTTATAATCCATCCTGGAGTGAAGTTAGGTAGGAACCTGAAGGCAAAAAACTGAAGCAGAGACCATGAAGGATGCTACTTACTAGTTTGTTTGCTCCCCTTGTGTAACATGAGGGCCGGCTTTTTGGGGTATCTGTCCCACCCAGTACCCCACAACTGGCATGACCCGAAGAGAAAATCACACACAGGACTCCATAAGATTATAAACTGATTGGCCCATTAGGTCAGACTTCTTATTAGTCCTTGTAACTTATATTAATCCATTATCGTTGTCTATGTTAGCCACACGGTTCAGTACCTTTCTCAGCATGGCAGCTCACATGTTGCCTCTTCGGTGATCTGGGCAAGAATGGCAGAGGGAGCTTCCTGCTTCCCAGAATATTTCCTGTTCTCATTGCCCCGCCTCTACTTCCTGTCTGGTTGACCCACCTATACTTCCTGCCTGGCCAATCAGCGTTTTATTAAAATACATGATTGACAGAATACAGATAATTCTCCTGCACCACCCTTGGATCTTCTCAGCCTGCTTGCTTATGGTGTCCAGAACCACCTGCCCATGGGTGGCATAGTCCCTGGTGAGATGAACCCTCCCACATCAATCATTAATCATGAAAAGTGACTTTCCTATAGACTTTCTTGCAGGCAGGTGAGTGGAAGCATTTGCTCAATTGAGGTTCCTCTTCCCAGATAACTCTAACATGCCAAGCTGACAGAAAATTAGTCAGGCCTCCCTCAGTCCTTGAGAGAGGCTAGAAGAGCCGTTTTCCTGTCTGCATGGTCTTCTCTGCCTTCACCAATCACTTAGAATGGTAGTCTTTCTATCTAGCATACACTGGTGAGTCCCTCAGTCCTTGAGAGAGGCTAGAAGAGCCGTTTTCCTGTCTGCATGGTCTTCTCTGCCTTCACCAATCACTTAGAATGGTAGTCTTTCTATCTAGCATACACTGGTGAGTAGTCAGAATCCTTTATTCTGGCAAGTGGGGATTAGAAATAGAGAAACATTAGAAACATTTTTAAATTTTATTTAACTTTATTTTATGTGCTTTAATGTGAAGGTATCAGATTCCTTGAAACTGGAGTTACAGATAGTTGTGAGCTGCCATGTGGGTGCTGGGAATTGAATCCCATTCCTCTAGAAGAGCAACCAGTGCTTTTAACTACTGAGCTATCTCCCCAGCCCTTAGTAACATTTTAAAAAGCACTCTAAGCCCCTTTGAATGCCCTACCCTGCTATGTGGTCTGAAGTATGGCCAGGATGACTTGAAGCTGGTTTTCTGTAGTTACTCAGATTGGAGAAACAAGCCCATTTGGAAATAGAAATGATATACACACAACCTTATTTTCTCTCCTCTTGAACACTGATAACCTTGGGTCCCAAAGGGGAAAAAATATTCCCTGTGTCTAAACCAATAGTTTTGGATCTTGTCTTTGTTAGGGTTTTGTTGCTGTGATGAGACACCACGACCACAGCAACTCTTATAAAGGGAAATGCTTAACTGGGGCTGGTTTACAGTTCATCGAGGAAGGAAGCATGGAGGCACACAGGCAGATATGGGGCTGCCGGAGCAGGAGCTGAAAGTTCTACATCTCAATCTACAGGAAGCAGGCAGAGAGAATGAGCCATTGGGTTTGGCTTGAGCATTTGAAACCTCAAAGTCCTCCCACAATAATATATTTCCTCCAACAAGGCCACACCTCCTAATAGTGCCACTCCCTGTGAGCCTATGGGGGCCATTTTCATGCAAACCACCACAGATTTCCTTTATGATGTGACAAGTTCAATGGGACTAAAGTTCTACAAGCTGAATTAAATTCAAGCATTCATTGGATGTCTTCTTAGAAGCACACTGACAAAACTGGCATGGAAATATGTTGTATGAAGCTGCGCGTGATGGAAAATACCTATAATCTGAGAACTTAGGAGACTGAGGCAGAAGCATCCCAAGTTCTGAACCAGCATGAATGAATCATATGGTGATACCCTGTCTAAAATGTAAAACAAACAAAAGATGTGCTGTGTGCATGGTGTGTGTGTGTGTGTGTGTGTGTGTGTGTGTGTGTGTGTGTGTTTGTATGTGAATTAGTTTATAAGTTTATCTGGAGAAAGGACAGGGGAAATGATTAAGGTTTTGAAATTCAGATTATTTATTAAAATAATGACCTAGAAAGAAAGTTGATAAATGAACAAAGGTGGGATCCCAGAAGGAAATGGAGAGTTGAAAATTAGAGCAAATTTTAAAAAACCTGTAACTCCAAAAAAGACAGCAGAATGGAATCACATTCAAAGCTTCACAGCTTGGTTGTTACAGAACCGCAGAACATGGACATGCTAGAAAGGGATCTGGTAATAGTAATAATTTGTGTTTAATAGAGAACTTTATATCTGAGTACATCATTGTCATGCCTCCTTCTTTCCTCTAAGTCTGCACACATTCCAGCTCTCAAGTTCATGATCTTTTTTTCCCTATAATTATTGTTGGTATACATCCCTGCATGTGCACATCACTGACTAGATGTTGTTCTTATGTATCTCTGTTAGGGTAAAAGAGGAGGCATCAAATTCTCTGGAAATGGAGCTATGGACGGCAAGCTGCTCTGCAGGTGCTGGAAACTGAACCCAGGTCCTGAAACTGAACAGTAAGTGCTCTTAAATGCTTAGCTATTTCTCCAGCCCCCTATGTAACTTGAATTTTGTGCTTAATCTTTGTAATTGCTAAATTGGTATGCTCTCAAATATGTCCTACTGGGTACCCTTGGAAAAGCATCATTCTTTTCAAATATTCAAACCTAAAGGTGTAAAACTATTTGATTACATTTCATTAATAGTTTTACCTTTTACCTTTGATAATAGAATATTTTTTAAAGCCAAAGTTACCTTGGTAAAATTCCATCTTATTTTTATTTTTTCTACTTTCTAATAGTAGCCAATCCTGAAAAACAAAATGAGCTACTATCCAGACTATAAGAATGTGTCTGTGAACAATTGTACGTGAATTAGACTTTGATATCGTAGTCTCTTGCTTGGGTATGGCTAATATTGTCTATGATATAGTCCATACTTTTGATTTCTGTTTTGCTAGTGTTTGCTATGATAACGAACAATTTGGTTAATCTTCCTGTAAAAACTGATTTTGTTTGTCTCCCAATATTTTGGACTAATAAGAATTTCCCTTTTAAGCACAGCTGGTTCTGACTCATCAACCACAGACCTTCATTTTAGAGAGATTCTTCTAATTATAAAATCATCTAGTGGCAGTCTGGACAAAAATGTTCTGGCTGCCACCGCCCAAGAATACCGATACTTGAGTTTATACCGATGCCCTTTAAAACATAATGTTACTTATGGAGTCATTTGACTAAACTATTTGACATAGTCTAACTATTTCAATATGCTGAGACAAATGCAGGTACTTACTAATTATCCAGAAGGGAATGCATCTTGGTTGGTTAAGGCTGCTAAAGAGTTTCAACAGGTTAACTTCAAAAGCAATAGGATCTTGAACAGTTCTGATGACAGGTGACATAGATCAGCCTTTCCAGAACATTCTGCTAACAGAACAGAGGCAACACCGATAGCATCAAGATCAGCTTTGCTTTTGTAATGTTTTCTTACATTGTAACTTCTTTCTATAGGAACCAAAGCAACAGGCTCCAACTTCAAAATGGGGCAAATCAATACTGGACAGAACTAAAAAGGTATTTCAATGTGTCCCTTCCATGTGGCCCTTCCATTTAATCCCAGAAGTATTTGTGGGTTTTTATTTTCAGTGATTGTTTGGAAAAAAAAAAAGGAACAGGATAAAGAAAACATTACACGATTTTGTTTCCTTTTTAGTCTGTGAATTCAGGGAAAAGTAATGGGTTAAAATAAGAAATGTTGTTAACTACTTATGAGAAAAGCAAACTGGAAAAGCTAGCTCATGTTTTATTTCCTCCGATTTCAAAAGAAATTGGAATCAGCTACAAAATTGGTTATTACAGACAAAGTTAGTGGTGAAGGAGTCACAGTGCTTGGGAACCCATGATAGGGACATTTTCCCTGCCCTTGCCTTATGTACATATGTAACTTTCAAACTGCTTCAATGGGAAAAGCTGGCCTTTGGCTATCGAGAGAACACTTCAGGGTAGATCAGCAAATAATATGCATCAGAGGCTTCTGCCAAGTGTTCAGCCTCTGTGAGCATTTGTTTCTCATCACTCATTTCTTCCACCAGAACTGCTGTGTGATTCATCCTTCCCATCTAGGTAGCAGGCCCAGGTATGTGGGGGCTAAGCTTTAAACACACACTGTGGGGAATCCCTTGCCTTTAGCCCTGCACACAGCGATGCAGGAAGATAAGTGGGGAATGCCATAGAAGCAGTTTGTTTACCTAAGCACCTAAGGAGTGCAGCAAAAGCAAATCAGATGTCATACTGCTTCTGACTGGCATTTGATTTGGGGACTGCAGCCATTTGAGAAAGCGGAAGATTGTTTATTAATGATTCATGGTGGAATAAAAAAGATCTGGGCACAGCAAAGACAGATGACCCCTGACTCCAGTAGGGCAGACTTTAGAGTTCACTAATTCTTTTTGTTTCGTTTTTGCTGTTGTTTCACTTGTTTATTTGTTTTCTAGACAGAATCTCACTGTGTAGCCCAGGCTGTCCTGGAACTCTGTATGTAGGTAGACCAGGTTGGCTTCAAATTCAGAGAACTGCCTGTCTCTGCCTCTCAAGTGCTGTGATTAAAGGCATACTCCACCATGTCCAGAAAAATCTCACTAATTCTTTAAGTGGGGAAGGTAGGGTGGTGGAATCTACATTATATCCTACACCAAAAGATACAATCAAAAAGCAATTTTTTTCTAGCGTACAATGTATAATGCAATTTTTAAAATCTATTCATACCTTAAAAAGGGCATATTGTTGTTCCATTATCACTTTGCCTTCTGCTTAAACTTCAGTACTGCAAATCGTTTTTATTGGTGTGTTTCACCAGGCATGGGAGTACACCGCTTTAATCCCAATACTCACCTCCTAAGGATTTGCTAGTAGATGTCTCTCAGCTGGAGGCGAACCTGGTGTACATAGCCAGTTCCAGGCCAGCAGAGCCCACACAGTGAGACCCTGTCTGAAAGCAGAAAAAAGAAGTTACAAAGTGTTTTCATTGTGCTAGAGGATAGATGTAAGTCGATGATATTTTTTGGAGTATACACCACGTGTAGCTAATGCTGCCAGACTGCTCAGCTCTAAAATCTTACTCATAAGAAGTCTCTTGTGGGTCTAATTGTTCTCTGGGAAACCTCCTAGAGATCTAGAGTTGCCTTCTTGGATAATTAGGCTCTGGATCTAGAAATGCGTGGTTAAAAAGTGCTCTTACCCACCTAGAACCTTACAAACCTAGTAATTCAATACTCTTGATGTCCCTTTCTAAATATGTTTGATAGACATTACCTTCCCTGCCACACCTGCTTGCTACCAGTAAGATTTGTGCTAAGAATGAAAGGAAAGGGGAAGACTGTGAAAGTCAGAGGTTGAGGAAGACTGAAGTTCAGTGTCTTTTGGCCGTGACAGGACCATTTGTGGTTATAAACTCATAACGGCTGTGTGCTGTCAGCATAAGACCATAAGACCAGCATAGGTTAAGACGGTGAACATTCAGCACAAATGGGGAAGAGGCACCTGAGCCCCGCCCTTAGTTGAGGTACTCTTGACAGTTAATGGCTATCAGGGGAGGGAGAGCCTGTTCTCTTTTGGGGTGCAATCCCTATTAAGTTGACCAAGTTCTAGTGGATGTTCCCACACAATCTATATATGGGTAGTGCTAATTGGACCCAGTAGGTTATATAAAACAACAAAATGATGTTGAAAGAGACATGAGAGGATCCAGGAGGATTTAGAGAGAGGGAGTGAAGATGAACATAGTTGAAATTTACTGTATCCATGCACGAAACTCTCCAAGATTAAATTTAAGATATTAAGTAAACAAAATCAGTTTTGTAGGAATGGGCGCTTTATTCAGAAGATGCATGTTGTGTCGTACACGTAGAAGAAACTTCTACATTGACGTGCAAGCAAAAGTTCTGTTTAGGTGAGTGGAAAATAAATGAGAAGAAGGTAAAATTCAAAACCAAGTCAGGGGTTTCCGAGGCTATACCTCACTGAGGGCCCCAAGGGAAAGTCAGCTATTTTAAGGCACCTTTTATTCATTCTTTGTCAATTTGAGACAGTGTATCTCGATCACACCCACCCCAGCTCTCCTTCCCCCAGTTGTTCCCCCAAATACTCCTAACAAGGCGCCCTTATACCTTTGCATCTTCTCCTTTCTATGTGTCCGTAACCAATGAAGAGTGATTAGCGCGGCCTGGTGGGCCAGCTAGATCGTGTCCAGGCCTTGTGTAGGTGACACTTGCTGCAGTAAGTTCGTGAGCACAGCAGCTTTGTCATATCCAGAAACATCCCAGAGCAGGCACCATTCCCCAGCCACCAGCTTTTCCCCTCTTCCAACCTCCTCTCTGGGATGATCCCTAAGCCTCGGGCAGGTTGATATAGATGTTCTCTTTAATACCGAACACTCAATAGTCATTTATTCTTAGCCCTTTGACCAGTTATGGGTCTCTGCATTTAACTGTGACTACTAAAGAAAGAAGCTCCTGTGGTCAAGATTGAGAACAATATTAATTTATGTGTCCAAACATCACATATTTATAAGGGAATTTGACAACATATCTATGTAGCAAAACAACAGGAATAGGTTCCCGCCTAGAGTTTATGAGCAAGTTTATATTATCGGGTATGAATTCCTTCTTGTGGAGCAGTCCTCAAGTCCAAACAGAAAGCAATTAGTTGCAACCATTACCTTCTTGCTTCTATTACAACAGTGGACACATCTTGCCTGGCGGGGTGGCGTTGTAGCCTTCACTTAGTTGGTGGGTTACCTCTCACCTCTAGCAGCCTGCAAAGGCTCTTCTAGCACCATGAAAGCTAGCCAGATGACAGGACCAGTTCAGGTCTCTTGCAGCGTGACTGCTCTATGCCCTGTCACCCAATTGTGCTGTCTCTTCAGCAATAGGGTCTTAGCAACTAGTTGTGGTGGGTAATCAAGCAAGAGTAATAGCCGATGGTGTTTGGGGGCCTCTGTTGTCTCCCAGAACAATAACTCACAGTAATCTATTCATTGCCTAGCTCTGAGATTTTCTTTTACTAACTCATGTCTTCTGTGGGAAGCACACAATGTACCCATATGGGGCACCTGTGTTTAAATTCTGTATTTTAAATTATCTCATAAAGTAGTGGGTTTCTATACATCCTTAATTTTGGTAAAGGTATCTTTTTTTAGTCTCCTTTTCTAATCTATAGGCAAGTACATTCTGTCCCATGGTACTGGAAAGCTGAACAAATATCCTGCCATTCCTCTGTAGGCACGGATAGAACACTGCTAAAACTGCTTATGTGTCAGATAAAGTTCTTCCAAATTCTTTCTTTCTCAGCTCAAGATTTCTTCATCTTTTGCCAGTGGTTCTTATACTTGACTTGAAGAAAAAGTAATAACGGAAGAGGTCATGTGTACTTGTCAAAGCCTTAAAAGAAAGTCCCCACTCACTTTTTTTCTTCTTTTTAGATTATTACCAAGGTATCAAGCTCATCAGTGGTTATTTTCTTAGAAAGAAAAAAAGTTAGAAGGGGGAAAAAACCTAGAAGATAATATGGGGTAATTTTAGATAATATGCAGACACAAACACTTGAAAATCAGGTTGTGGTGTGTGTTCTTATTTTCAGCTTGCCCTTGTTAGCATTCTCTGAATAAACAGTTGTGTATACTTCACCAAGATGTCACCATTGCTGATTTAGCATAATCGCTTCAGAATCTACTGATACTAGCTTGAAGCTTGACTTTCAAAAACTAAAGTCTTCAAGTTTTAATGAGAGTTTCCTAAAACATGGTCCAAAGAGTTTATTAAAATAGAGCCTGTCTCTTAAAGAAACCATAGGAGTTTCACATTGGTACATTAATTCTAGGAAAAATGATAATGAATAATGGCTCTCAGCTTTCAAATAGTGTTTTTCATGTTCAAAGTGCATGAGCAACATTAATTAAATCACTGGCAGTCAAATTAGATCAATATGTTCTCTGTATGTGCATAGCCATACCTTTTACGTAAACAGTCTTCCAAATCACACCACTGCAGATCAAACATCCCTCCCCCATCTGAACTTAGTTGACTGATACTGATTCTAAGCAACAGATAATTACTAGAAAGACTAGGTCTGAGGTGGGACTATGTAAGCCTTCTTTGTTTTTTAGGGAAAAACATGAGATTTATCCTTGGTGAAAGGTACATGAATCACAGTATGAAATGCTTCTAACTCTAGGCCAGAAGATAACAGTGATAAGCCCATTCCTGCGTACCACAGTGTGGGACAGCTAAATCCCGACTAAAGGTATTTCATCAACGAAGAATATATTTCATGCTTTTTATGCTACTGTATTTTTTGCCTTTCTCAGCACCAATAAGAAGATTTCTATGGCTAAATATGGTGTCAATTTCAGCAATATGGTAATTGTTCATTAATGCTAGGAATCTGTGGTCACTACTGACTTGAAGAGCTTTTAGGCCAGCAAATTAAACATAGTAAATTTCATGGTTATTTTTAGAATAATTTTCACATATTTTTCCTTCAATAAATTTAATGCAGCTTTCCAAATCACCACAAGAGATTAGGTGCTCCCAGCGGACCCCCACGTGAAGGATATTCCAACTAAGATAGAGTGATAATAGCATTCCATCTTTCAATAACACCTAGCAAATTAACACACCCTACTCACCAACATAATACAATCAGGAGAAGGCATGCACATACATGTATGGACACAGATTTGGCCAAAGTCTGGTTTGCTTATCCTTGGAAAGCTCAAGGCTACATCACTTCAAATGGATGGCGTCAGGTTTCGCCCTCTACTTTGTCTGCCAGATTTTCTAATCTATTTCCAGGGAAGAAGAACTACTCCTTGATTGTCTTGCAGTGTGATAAACAAAAAGAGCATCTGGCTTGACTGAGCTGTCTTCTTCCAGATGGCAAGAGTACCACTCGAGGTCATGGTAGCAGCCCCTGTACACTCCACAGGACGCCTTTGTTTCTTCTTTGTAGAAAGGCTCGCCTTCCACCTCTTCACCTCCGATCTGAGATTTCTCTTTTCCCCGAGTGAAAACCTGGAGTTCAGTGACAATGCATGTGTCCGAGGCCATCATACTTACTGGCTGCCTGGCTGAGGCATAACAGGTAATGAAGCTGTTAGGCTATTGTCATATTGCAAGAGAAGAGTGAAGTCTCTGTAAGTCATTGATGTGGCTGAGTTTTGGTCCATAAAAGTAAATCAGATATATTTTGAAGATATTCATTTTTCCTTTAATATGGAGATAAAAATTCGACACAGGAAGGAAAACTTATTAAAGAAAACTTAGTATGGATGTAAAAATTTAATAGTGTCAGGTCGGGCAGTGGTGGTGCATGCCTTTAATCCCAGCACTTGGGAGGCAGGGGCAGGTGGATCTCTGTGAGTTCGAGGCCATCCTGGTCTACAAGAGCTAGTTCCAGGACAGACCCCAAAGCTGCAGAGAATCCCTGTCTCAGAAAAACCAAAAAAAAAATTTAATAGTGTCTATGAATACAATAGCTTTAAAGGTAAATAAAATACATGCATGCTTTGCACATTTTGGGTCGTACCAGTTATTTCAGTCAGCATTCATTGCCTCCATTTCACTTCTGACTCTTCAGAGACAGTTCTTTCTGACGTCACACGTGACATCTTTGTTGCTAACCAGATTGACCTTTGCGTCATATGCTTATCTCTTCGACCTTTCTGCTGCCTGTGATGCTATAGATTTGCTACGACTAACACCACCTACCGACTATTTAGTCTTGGCATTTCCATCTTCCTTGCTAACCTTGCCAGCAGCCTTGTCTACTTATCTCCTGCCTGTATTATCATGCAGGCTTACATCTGTTTTCCCAGGTTCCATCTCTCCTTCAAATTAAGAATGCCAGAAGGACTAATCTCCCAATGTCCTTACTTTAACTTGACCTCAAAAATCCCATCTATTCATAAGGCTTTCTTATCTCCCTTGCTTCATTCCTTCACTCTTTCCCCAGTTTCTTACATTCTAGATGTCCTTGGCTTTTCATATAGTTTTCAACACATGAAACATGACTGCTTTGGGTCTTCGTGAGAGCAGGAACTGTTTGTTTTATTGCTTTGTCTTTAGTATCTAAAACACTGTGCAAAGTTCACTAAAATTTGTTGAACGATGACTCTAATGACCATATCATTCCCAGGCTATTCAGCTATATCCCTAACCATTTATATATTCCTTCATTTTGCTGTGTACAATGTTGCTCTTCCTGTCCACGGATTATATCCCACATTAGGTATATTGACCTCTTCTTCTCCAAGTAGATTATAAGCTACTGAAAGGGTAGAGGCATTTCTATATTCTTCTCGTCTAGTAACATTTTCTGTATATTTAATAACCACTTATTATTTATTTATTTCACACTGTAACATATACTTACCCATAAAGAACATTTACATCAATATGGCTTAAATAGAAATAAAAATAAGTTGAGCATAAAAATATTAGGCTAGGGCCCATGGTCGGGGCCTGGGTTAAAGGCTCTTTGTCTTCTATTTGAGTATCAAACTACAGTTTTGTGGAGTGAGAATATAATGTGGCGGCTCTCCCTTGGCAGTCTATCTTGCTTCCTTATCCAGCAGTCTGCAGGCTGCTCCTCGGAGCATTAAGGACCTGGGGGCAAATGTGGCACTTACTGACTCTTGCCCCAATCATAAAATCACCTGGGATTTCTAGCTTTTCATTGTTTCCTATATATACTCACTAAAACCAAGACTTTCTAAGTTACAATGGTGTCCAATATACCTAACAAAATTATGGCTTCTGATTTTTTGCCACCTCTTTTTCCACCTTCCTTTCTCCTCTGCCCAATCAGTCCATCTTCAATGATTTCCTACTCAACTCTGTCTCAGGTTGAAATGTAGGTCCTCAACCAATGGTCCTGCATTTGGACCTAGTTTGTGACTAGCTTGTTCTTGTTTCTCAGGTTTCCTGTTTTACTTCCCTGATCTAACTTTCCCTTATTCTTGGCATGTCTGTTTTCTTCTTAGAGCTTTTGTCCAAGCATTTTGCTTTACTTCTTTCCTATACACAGTGCTCTAAATGATATATCTCCTTTTTGTTGTTGTGGCCTTTAAGAAGTCTTTTCTTAATTTATGGGCACCATCTTCCCACTTAACATTTGGAAATTACTGTTGAGAACTTGATTATTAGTGTTGAATTATCATTTCATGCCTCATATTTTACCTCACCAATAATGTAATTTTCTTGACAACAGAGATTTCATAACTCTTTTAACCAGGCACAGCCTTTGGCACCTCTGAGGATGAATGTGTTTGGTTGGATCAGAGTTCCAGAGCAAGGGCCAGAAGTGACTGAGATCATGCAGATGATCCCCGACTGAGAGATGCAGGTTACACAAGAGAAATCCTTGAACATATTGGGGGTGAAATGACTTCTGACATCAATACCTAAGCTCAATTTCACAGGTCATGTATACTGAGGCAGAGCTGAGGTGTCAAAGAATTCTGACGTTGAACAGCTTTGGAGCTGCAGTTCTAAATCCTATGCTGGCAAATATGTGAGACAGGTCCTAGTAGGAATCCTGACTTTGTTCCAATCAGGCTGGCTGTATTGGTTAGGCAACTTACCTTCTCCAGACTCCAGATCTAAATCAGATAAATGAAAAATATTAGACTCCGGGTGATCTTAAGGACTAGATGATTCATTTATAAAATTAGAGGACTCATCTTTCAGATTGATGAACTGGTAGCCCCTAGGCTTTGTTTTTTTTTTTTTTCCCCTCAAAATTTTATTTTGTGGAATAGGATTTACAAGACTCATTTGCAGTTTGGACTTCTCATTTTCAGCTTTCTGCCTTCAGTTTTCTGTTTCTCAATTTGTGTAAAAGTGGATGGACAGATGGTTTATTAGGCTTTTTAAATGCCTGTGATACTGGTGTTCAAGTCAACATGGTTTTAAGCTTGGGAGGTCCACATAGAGTGTGGGCTTTGTTTAGAACAGGAGATAGTTTTCACTGTTCAATTTGCGGATAGTAATGCTTACTCACATAACTTAAACTACTCAGGATGCATCTCCGAAGGCCTAGTCAGTTTCTGTTATTTTGGTATGCTTCAATGCATTTCTGCACCATAGTCTGCTCCAAGTTGTAGTTTTTAAAATGATATTACCATCTAAAAGCATATACCTACCATTGCATGTTTTGCCTTTGCCTGAATTATTGCATCCACAGCGTGATCCCAAATACGAAATTGTTAACCCAGATTCGTAGAAACGTAAAGGAGACAAATCCCTCATTTTATAGATGCCCTTAAGAGTTTCTTGTGCTCTTTCTGACTTTTAGTAGGGCCGCGAATATGTCATTACCAATCCCCATCTGAAGTAGGACTTGTAGTATCGACAACCAAAGGGCTGCATACAACTTAAATATAGGAAAAGCCTGCATTGGCTAGCAGAGATCCTCCAGGATTCCCGAGGGAGGGAAAGCGGGTCGCGCTGACCAATACAAGCAGGAGGGTGTGTGCACTGGCCATGCCGGCCCCCCAGCCTCCGGCCCACCCGGAAGGACAGGGAACCGGGAGTGCAGGTGAGGGCTCTACACCTGCCTGAGAACGCGGCCGGGGAAGCCCGCGCCCTCAGTAGGAAAAGAAGGCCGCAGCGAGAGCGGAGGTGGCGACGAGAGGTGTGAGAGAGTATGGAAAAGCTGAAGGGGCGGCGGGGGCGCTGGCGTGACTGGAAAGCGTGCGAGGGACCGGAGGGCGGGCGGGGAGCAGGTGTGAGGAGGCGCGGGGCAGCGGCGGCGGCGACTTGGCTCGCTAGCCCAGCGCGGCCTCTGACTCAGGGACTCCGCGTGGAGCTGGCAACCCGGGGGGCGGAGCCTCGGGCCTGTGGGCTGGGCCAGACCGAGGGCGCGGGCTTCCCCGGCC